CCCCCCAACACAGCCAGGGCACTTCCCCACATACATGATTTGATTTGAGTGGGACTTGTGCGTGAGTGAATAGAATTATTAAAGCTTATTGCTTTCGAAGCATTAAAAACTGGGTTGGGCAAATATTCTGTTAGTGGGATGGTTTGTGAAGGACCTGCCTAGTATGCACCAACAGGTCTGCTCCAATGTTCTTGCTTTCTTATGTACACCATCCAGGGTACTTCCCCACACATACCAGCCAGGGCACTTCCTCACACACACAATTTGATTTGAGTGGGCCTTGCACATGAGGACAGCAATAGACATAACAGGACAGCAATAGACATGCAGGACAGCAATAGACATAATTAGGAAGAAGGGGGGGCACCCTGTTATATGTGGCATTTTGCCAAGAAGAGGTGTTGGAAATGAATGGTTGTCCAGAGCAATTGGTATTAATTGTTGGTTGGATAAACACTGTAAGGATAATGCAGTACCATTCATTGACAACTGGGACAACTTCTATGGCTTTAAACTAAGACTTTAAACTAGGATTAATTAGAGGTATGGGTTTAGGAATGATAAATAATGAGTATGGATATATTGACTTATGCTCTGATATTAAGAATCTTAATAGTAACTGTCATGGAGTAACTCTGGGTAATGATAATTTCAGAAATGTGTAAAAACAAAGATGAATAGGAAAAATGTGCAGAAGATAAAACATATGATGGTATTTTATGCTAACAGTCGAAGTGCAAGAAATAAGATTAATGAACTATGTTTGGTAGCATGTGCTGGGAATTTTGATGTCATTGCATTAACTGAAACATGGTATGATTTAAAGAGTCGGGATATGATTGCTGAGTGTAGTATTCAAGGGTTTAAGTTGCTCCATGTGGACAGATGTAATGGGAAGGGGGGAGGAGTTGCATTATATGTTAGAGAAAATATTAACTGTTGCATAAAAACAGGTATAAAAATAGATGGAACAGTAACAGAATCTGTTTGGGTAGAGTTTATAGAAGGTCAAGAAAAACTAATTCTAGGTGTAATATACCGACCTCCAGGCTTGGATCGTGATAGAGGGAGACTTCTTTGGGACGAAATTGTTAGGGCTTCTAGACACAATAACATAGTGATAGTAGGGGATTTTAACTTTAGTCAAATTGACTGGAATTCTTTGACCGGTAATCTGGAGTCCAGTGACTTTATGGAAACAGTTCAGGACTGTTTTCTGAAGCAGTGTGTAACATAGCCTACCAGGGGTAATAATTTGCTTGACCTAGTCTTGTCAAATAAGGAAACACTTATAAATAATCTGGAGATCACTGAAGAGCTTGGCACAAGTGATCACAAATCCATCACCTTCAGCATTAACCGGGAATACAAGAATAATGATAATATGGTAAAAATCCCTCATTTTCGTTCTGCCGATTATAGTGGACTTAGGGAACAACTGTCAAATCTCGATTTGGGTTATCTAGCTAATGACTTTATTGACGATGATCATACTTATGATTACAAAGGGATCTCCATTTATGATTTTTTTTTAATAATGTACACCATGCTCAAAGTGTATACATACCCCAGAGAAAAATTAGGTCTAATAATAACGATCCCAAATGGGTTAACAGGAGGCTAAAACATCTATTAGGAGAGAAAAGAGGAATTTATAGGCACATCAGAAGAGGAGAGGTTAACCTTACTGACCAAATGTTCAGCTTAACCCCTTGACTGTCGCAACCCCCAATCCTGAGGTGTCTCCTGGTGTCGCAAAATTTAAAAAAAAAACAAAAATTATTTTTTCTTATGAAATGATAGAGAATCTTTTCCCAATTGTAATGACACCAAAAAACGAAATTTGATGGAAAACTGACGGAATTACCCTCTCGCGAAGTTAGAGACCTTGGCGATATTTACAAATTGGCGATTTCGCCCACTTTGACCCCTATTTTCGGCTAATTCTGTTGTTCCAGTCAACCAAGCTCATAGCTATTTCTTTAGAACTCCATTTTTTCTATCGATTGAGTACAAGAAACTGCCAATTTACCAATTTCAACTACCCAATAACGTGGTCAGAAATTTGCAATTTGGCCAATTTCACGAAAATTAAAAAAATATGACAATTTCAAAATAAGGTCCAGAATGAACAATGCAGACATTCCTGGCTCTAAAATAACATTTTCTTTGTTCATCACTCATGTCTCCAGGCCCCTCTGATATTACTCTTGCTTTCTATTTTGAATTTTTATTCAAACAAAAAATAGAAGATTTACCATTATGCAGACTACTCCAATACTGTAATAATTGTATAAATAACATCAACCCATTCATGACTGCATATTAGAATGGCTAGTTGGACATTTATTGGACAATGATGTCATTTGTTTACTTTTGAACATCGGCAAAAATCAAACATTTCCCCTACTTTGAGCTCCATTTCCAGGTTCTTTTTATAGTAAAATCAATCAAAATGATCTCTTTTTCTATAATATGTTTTCCATTCTATCAAATGAGACCAAGAAAACGAGAATACAATCATAAATACTATACGAAAATAGACCACAAAGTCGGCATTTTAATTCAAAAAAACGGTCGGAGCTTTTTTTTTTCTCATTATGCACTGCGTGCTCCAGGACTTTTTTTCATGTGGTGCACACAGACCACACAGACTCATTCTCTCACATGTGGGCCTACCAGCTTTCTCCTCCTTGATCTGAAGCCACTAGAATTTATGAGTATACATACGTCAAACACGGTACCTCATAAGACGTATATATATACGGCCGCGACAGTCAAAGGGTTAAAAGAGAAGTAAAAAAGGGGATTAGAAAGGCTAAATGTGACTATGAAATTAGAGTTGCTAATGAATCAAAAACCAATCCAAAGGACGAAGGTGAAGGAAAAAGTAGGACCTCTAAAAATTGGGAATGGACAGCTGACAGATAACAAACTGGAAATGTGTTCCTTATTTAACCCTTTCAGGGTCTGTGCCATAGATCTACAGCTTTACGCTCAGGGTCCAAACCATAGAAATACGAGATGAGCTCAGCTCACTCTGATAAGCTGTGAGTAGTAAATTTGAGCCTAGATATGAGAGAATACATCTATGTGATATGTGTGCACCACATAAAACAAATCCTGCAGCACACAGTGCATAATGAGAGAAAAAAAACGAGACCGTAATTTTCGATTAAAACGGCAACTTTGCAGTGTTTTTTCGTATGTTTTTTATAATTGCATTTGCAATTTCTTGGTCTCATTTGATAGAAAGGAAGATATACTACAGAAATAGAGATGATTTTGATTGGTTTTAGTACTGGAAATGGCTTGAAACTGAGCTCAAAATAATAGAAATGTTAAATTTTTGCCGATGTTCAAGAGTAAACAAACGACCTCACAAGTCTAATACACGCCAGCTGGTGGGTCTAATATACATTCACAAATGTGGTGATATTATTTATACAATTATTACAGTATTGCATAACAGTAAATCTTCTATTTTTTGGTTTGAATAAAAATTCATTATGTGATAAAAAATCAAAATGGAATTCATTTGTAAAGCCTGAAAACCTAACTAATGAACAGAGGAAATGTTAGTTTAGTGCCAGGAATGCCTGCATTGTTAATTTTGGACCCTATTTTGAAATTGAAATATTT